TAGTTCATCCATAGTTCATATTTTTATACTTAAATTAAATATATACATAATGCATATTTAGTTCATTCATTATGCATGTCTAATTCACCAATGTGCATATTTATTGTATTTAAATTAAATATATACATAATGCATATTATGTTCATTCATTATTCATATTTAGCTCATACGAAATGCATATTTAGATCATCAAAAAGTGCATATTTAGTTCATGTGAGGTTCAACCATAGCTATTTATTTGTGTAAATCAATGACTCATATTAATCAATTGAAATTTACATTAATTATATAATATAGAATAATATTTATTATATTTAAATTAATTATATAAAATGCACATTTAATTGTATATTTTTACTGCATATTTAATTTATGTAGAATGCTCATTTATTTCGTGCGGAGTGCATATTTAGCTCATAAACAATGCATAATTAGTTGATATTATTGCTGCATATTTAGTTCATAAGAATTATATATTCAATTCATATCAAATGCATATTTAGTTAATGTTATGTATAGTGCTCAATGCATATTTACTTAATCCATAATGCATGCTACAGTCAATCATCAACGCTGGAAGGCAACGGTCAACACTGGAGTCAACGGTCAATGGTCAATAGTCAAATGGTCAAAATAATATTTAATAATTAAAATAAAAAAACTAAAAAGTTAATCTTGGCCACACATCTTAATACCTATCTAATGGCTAGGATTGAGTCTCACATATTCACTTTATATATGTAGACTTATTGGACTTATTGGGTCATATGAGAATGGTAAGTGAAAGAAAATAAGAATAAATTTGTACCATTGGATCCAACATATCAATGGCCATGATGAAGTTAATTTTAGTAAATAATGGTCAAATAGTCAATGGCAATATCATTAAAAAGTACATATTTTTTGGGATCGGTGAGGATCTCGTTATGTATAAGTCACGAATTCAATAGCAACAATAAACCTATGCGCAGCAGATCTAGAGGTTTAGAGTTGAACACTTACGGCTTAAATTCGCAGGCTCTGAGACGTTGTAGATTACCGTTGAAGGAAATATTCTGATTTCAAAATCAGTTGGACCCTAGATCCTTCTCGTCAGACCTCAAGAAGTTGTCGGGTGTGGCCGAGAGCAGCTCGTGCGTCGCGGTGTCGCCGGAGGAGTGCGAGAGGCGTCGCACGGTCGTGGCGGGGTCGAGGCATCGTCGGGCTGCACGTAGAGTCGCCGGGCATCGCAGATCTTTGGGGGTTGGGCTCGCATGCGTCGGGCGTCGGGCTCGGCGATTGGCGTGTGATGGTCGTCGGCGATCATGGACCGCCATCGACTGGGGTCGGTGGTGGTCGGACGGTGGTCAGCCGGCGGCTTCTGTGGTTGACTAATATATATTGAGCACGGGGTCTCGGTACCTCGGGATATTCTACTGTATATCTCAAACACCTCTTCGTATTGTACTGGTGGAACATCAAAACACGAAGATAAAGCTCGACTATGGGAACTAGAGAGAGAAAAAGAGAGAGGGGCGGCCTACACGTCTTGCACGTTAGGTTTTCTTGTGTCTCAATCCCATGAGCTTAATGATGTATATATAGAGCTACAGTAGGGATCCTAAGGAAATGAGGATTATGGCTATTTAAGTATTGGGCCTAACTATGAACCAAGCCCACTCTTGCCAATAGTTAAATAATATTTCGGTCCGCTAATAATATTATTGAACTCCCTTGTCCTCCTCAAAATTATATTCGAGACTCCAATTATAATTACTCGATTTACCTCCCTATGTTTAAGATATAATGTCCATTAATTAATTCGATTACTACCAAAACTAGCGTCGTTCATTACAATATTATTATGCCAGAACTTAATCCACCTGCAGGATTTAGCATAACAACCTTCATGAACTCACTTCGGGGACATCATCAAACCGTCGCACACGGTGACCGTAAATATTGTAACAGCTCATCATACATATAATAATATTACCCAAAACTGCAAGTATGTCGACTCAGTAAACTGAATCTCACTTTAGTGAATCAATGTAATAGTTATCATATGTACATGCCTGTTTATATCTTACAGGTTAAGAGAACGCAGTAATTAATCGAGACTTAAGTTTGTTTACGACGATCAATATAAAATAAACTGTTACTCTCTGGGATCCTATTCAATACATAAATGTACTAGTGCAACTAATCAATTAAGACCAACAATACAGTTGACACTACAACCGTTCTGATGATTTGTTCATTTCCATCTAGGTCGTGAACCACCAATTCTTGTCTCGCAAGTAACTGATAAAATGATCTTCTGTTCACCCGATGACGACCCATTTTATTTAAGTGAAAAACAACAAAACATAGAACTCGTTTAATCAAACATGATTCACATTCAACAATGATAAAATGTAATATCATATAAAGCAAAACTTTCAATATATAACACCAACAATATTGTGGTCAAATGTATAGATTTGACCACTTAGTAAGGGTATTCTGGTCATTGCATAGTCATCCACTATCCACGTGGGCCTCACCAATCACAACAAAATTCACACCTCTTTCACACACAAACACACACTCTCAATACACACACACGCACGCATGGAATACACAGACATTCAGATCCGCCGGCAACCACCTTCCTTCTATCGGCAGCGTTGCCGGCCACCACCTTCCTTCCGCCTGCATCATTGCTGCCTTCCGCCATTTGGTGTCGACGACCAATTGCCGCAGTTTGCAGGCAGCCAAATTCGGCACCGACCAGTAGAAATTCCGCAGCCACCGACCTGGCGATGGCCAAATCGTCAATCAGCCGGCGGTTCTCTCTAGTAATATCTCTTCCGACGTCAAGGTCCTTCAATTCGACGGCCAATTCGTGTCATCCCCCACGATCGGGAGCGCGCGGCCACCGGAGATATTCATCTTCCGTTTTATCCCGCCGTCGGCCATAATGAGTTAAGTGACCAGCCGCCGCGGACGCGGTCTTAATCGTTTGAGGTCCGTTCACCAGGACGAATGCTGGAGTTTGGGGGCTAAAATAGGGTGTTTGTAAAATCAGATTACAGGATTTAGATTTGAGCGTGCTGTTGAAAATTTGACATGCCTTAGGGACTCATTTGCAATTTTATAATTTTTTATATATTGCAATGTGGTTTATGGGGCTTTTTTTTTCAGAACGATAGAAGGCATTATATAACTCAACCGTGAACAATGTTCAAGTACAAAGGGGGAGACCCCAATCAAATCGTAAAAATCAAATTGAGAGGCTCATCTACAAGATGGCCTAAAGCCTCAAATCAACAAGAAATCACAAAAGAGAAAAACAAAGCATTTTGAGGTCCTAACCACTGCCATAATGCCTAGCGGGAGTCCGCCTAAGCCAATAAAAAAACTAGAAACACAAGCAAACTAAACAAAGAGAACCAACAATGTATTAAGAAATGGAACTGAACTCCTGCCAATCAGCTTGGGCAGTTATGATCACTAAATGAACTGGAATGAGAGATGCTTGAAAAATCCATAAATTGTGAGTCTTCCAAAGCCACCAAAGCAAATAAGTAGTGAGTTGAATTTTGTTTCTTGATATCTCTGATTTATTAAATATATAATTTATTAAAAATCTAATAATTACGTTAAAAATTACAGAATTCACAAAATTTCTCAACACTTTGCAGAATGCACATTATTGTTATCGGTTGGTTCGGCTGAATTGACCAACTGGAACGGTAAAACTGAAGTAATTGAGTCGAACATTTGGAAAATCTAAACCGACTATAATTCCAAACAGAATTAAAATCGAACCGAAGTACTTGGTTCATTCGGTCGGCTAACCGATTTAACCAAAATAACCGAAAGTAAATTATAATTTATATTATAAATATATATTTTGTATTTTAATTTGTTTGTTTAATCATTTAAATTTATATTTGCTCAAAATAATTATCATATTTATGTAAGATATAAAAAAATAAAGTTGAAACCAAACAAAAAAATAATCAAATATTTAAAAGTGAAAAAATTAATTGAACCAAAATATAAAATTTTAGACCGATTATTTTATTTAGGTTGACTTCGGTCACTCTTGTGCAATATATTAGTCATCAATGTGTAATTTATATAACACCATTGTGCATGGTATACTCGATTAGTTAACCGAATTATCATAAATACTTAAAACAATTTATTATTCAAATTATAAAAATAAGATTAGTATTTAAATACATATATTTAATACCTTATATAACTTTTATTTGTTGAAAATAAATATTTTTTTTACATAAAAAATATAAAAAAATAATATTTTTTATACAGTTAGGTTGGTTCGGTTAATTTTTTTTAAAAAAAAATAATACCGATATCGAAACGAAATTTTAAATGGAAAAATAGCCGAAAACTGAAAAATTTAGTTCGGTCGCTAGTGTGCAATCTGATAGTCGTTAATGTGCAATTCGTCTAACACTATTGTGCATCTTGACAGTTACTGATGTGTATCTTGGTTAATCCAATTAGCCTAAAAATCAAACTAATTTGTTTTATTATAAAAATATATTAAGTATGTTAAAATATTTATTTAATATGTTATATTATTTTATGTTTGAAAATACCTAATAAACATATGTACAAAAATAATATAAGAAATAACGGTAACAATTTTTTTATATAATTTTTATAAATAACAAATTTGACCCATAAGCTAAATTAAAAAACAATCAAAATTATGAAATTGCATACACGTCCCTGAAATTTATCTAATTCTAAAAAAATTGAAGTCCCTAATCTAATGTTGGCAGCTCGTATGCACCACCCCTGGCCCTTGGCATCCCGTCGTCACTGCCGAGAACGACCGCGCCACTGCATGCTCTGCCCGTGTCTCCATCGTCGCCGGCACATTCCATTCGCCCGCCTCCGACACAGTTGAGAAGTGCAGACACCTCCGACATCGGACCGTCGTCCGTCACCATCGTTGAACTCTTGTGGTTGCGCTGCCGCTGATGGTCGTTCGGCTGGTTCTATTTTGTAGCAGCCTGACGAGCTGGAACTTTGGACGCCGAATGGACAACAGTGGAGCGTTCGGGTCGGACGGAGAGAGGAATTCGACAGACATATCTCTGTGAAGTAACTGCGTGTCTGCTGCTTGTGCAGGCGGCGGAGAAGACTGTCGCGGTGGTGGCACTGGCGGCGACGGCATAGGAGGTGGTTGTCGGTGATGGCGCGAGGCTGACCGATGGTTGTGGTGGAGGCCAGGGTGGAGGTCTACCGGAGCCCACGTGGAGGTCGGGGCAGTGCTGCCGGTTACTGTGTGTATGTGCGGGTGTCGGTGATGTGTTTGTGTCGTGTGTGTGTGTGTGTGTGATATTGTGTGTGTTGTGCGTGTGTAATATCGTGAGCAGTGTTCTAAAAGGCGCTAGGCGCCCACTAAACGCTAGTCCCGAGCCTAGCGCCTAGAGGGCCTAGGCGTCGCTTAGGCCGGGCCTAGAAATTAAGATTAAATACCTTATTTTTTTATTTTTATTTTATTTTCACAACCTACATAATAAAACTAACTTAACTTATAATAACTCCACACCTAAGTCCAATAATATGACAAAACAATAATGTAATTAGTCTTTTAAAAATAAAAAAATAAAAAACTGAAAAATTATCGACGAGCTCGCCTAGGCCCGCCTAGACCCGTCTAGGCGCTGTCCAGCTGCCGAGCCTGCCTAGGCCTGCTTAGGCGCCGCCTGACTGATTTTTTCAGTGTGCAAATCGGAGGCAGCTGGGCAGCGCCTAGGCGCCGGCTTGGCCGATTTTAGAACAGTAATTGTGAGTGTATGTGTGTGTGATGTGATGTGTGTGCATGTGTTGTGTGTGTGGGTGCGCGTGTTGTGTGTGTAAAAGTGGTGGTGTGACTTGTGTTTGTGTGTGTGTGTGTTGGCATGGATCCTATTATTTGGATTTGAAAAATTACCACATTATTTTTAATCAAGGTATAATTTTAACTTTTTCTCTTTAGCCATTAGATCATCATAGTACTATTGAGTTGCTATGATGTGAAAAATGATAAAAGAAAGAAAAAATATCTATTACTATACACCAACAACCAACAACATATATCAATTTCAACATCTATGGAGAATATACATGAAGCCTTAACGACATCAAAATTCTTGACTATAAAAATAACCTTAAAGTTAACTTCAAGATAGAAAGTGCAAATCCCACAGCATCAAACAGCCTTGACCTCTGATAACTCATTCCCAGCCATAAAAAGGACTGCGAATAGCATCCATCAGCAAATCTAAGGCACACACCGAAGGTAATAAACTCAAAACTCAACAAAACAAACACCCAACCAACACAAAAGAAAGACAGCTAATATTCNTTTGGTTCATTTTGCTCCAAGAGCAAGAGGAATAAAACTCAATCACTGAAGTCTATACTTCTTCCACTGCATGAGCTGCTGGCATTTCTGCTGTGCAATGTAAGTTTTTTCATGTGGCCGTTTAGAGACGAGCCATCTGACTTGTTCTCCTGGAAGAATTTCTCCCTCTCGACATGTTTGGCAGGTGGCGGTGGAATTGACACTGCCAGTTTACCCGTTAGATTGATTTCTGAGTCATGTAAAGGCCTAACAGTTTCATGCTTGGCCTCTATATTTGTGGGTCGATTGGCTTCCTGCTGACGCTCGACTGTAAGTGGCCGTATGAGTGGGCGATGAGCCATTTGTCCCATTAACCCCAGAGGTCGATCTATTGGGCGCTCTTCATCTTCGGGTCTTATACAAGCTTTTCCTTTTCGTATCCTGTTAAAAAGAAACAAAGAAAAGACACTATATTAGCATTAAACGGGATATGAAACCAGAATCGCATGGATTGCTAACAACAATAATACAAAGTACCAAAACCACCTATAAATTTGAAGTAACTTAGAGAAATATACCTTTAGATTATATTTTCTACCTTAAACCTTAAGGGTCAGCTCCATGTGAGCTAGGTAGGGCGCCACGAAGGGGGAAAATAAACAACAAAAGAAGAAGATATTTTTACCTTGAAATGATATTTTTTTCTAAAGATGAATAAGTAATATTTTTTTACCTATGANAAAGCTACTTTGAATAGGGGATGAAAAGCTCCCAAAAAGTTAAATATACGATGCAATCAAATCTCAAGGGGTGTTACGAAATTCTGAAACACCTATATGTTCCCTTATAATTTTTGTCTTCTTACGATACTTCAAACCTCAGGCTTGGTTTCAGTAGTTATATGAAAGAAGAAAAGGAGAAAAAAGGGCTGACTCTGAAAACAAAGGATTATTACGCTAGATTTATCAATACTGAAACATGTCAAAACGTCAAAGATACATCGGCACAAATATACTGAGGCAACTTATGATGATTAAGTTGTAAGAAATATTTGTGCATACCGTCGGAAAAGTTGTTCCTCTTCCTCCTCTTCCTGTACTTGGTCAACGTGATCTGCAACTGCCATTGTTCTACTAGCTACAAGAGCATCATGCCTCCGTAAAACCATGTCAAGCTGCTCGTTAAGCTCAATCGCTCGTAAAACGAGTTTCTCATCCCTAAGATATTGAATAAGAGTGAGATCCAAAAAAACGGATAACAGTTACTGAAGAACATCCATAAAAATAATTTTACATTAATTTGCGACAAAATCATGCTAGTGCAGTGGTTGCTAGAAAATGATGACCAAGAAGTTCCTTTGATTTGACTAGTATGAGATAAGTTGGTTCATAGCCAGAAAGATCATCACTTACCGTGAAGTTACTGCCAGATGCATTACTCGCTGCTTTTGAAATGAGCATTGTTCCACAAGATCTAACGTGAACTCATCCTTTGCACGCTAGAAGAACATAGAACCAAGACAGTCAAACATTAAATTACTTAAAAAGACTAGGAATCATTTGCAGAGTCAACAATGTGATGCCTTTTCATTTTGATACAATTGGAGATGGTATATTTTCACTTCCAAAAAACTTGAAAATATGACATCCACAGCCAGTTGTTGTAGTTAGTATAACTGACCATGGTATATGCTCTCATTACCAGAGAAATGTTTGGAAAACTTTTTGACAGGAAAAAAAGAAAGAAAGAAAAAAAAAAAACAGAAATTGGAACGTGTGATTGATTGTAAGATGTGTAATTTTTAAAGTTAATGTGATGTAGAAAAATAATATAATAAACAATGAGTAGTAGTCAGAAATATGTGAGGATGAATAGTAAATTTTAAAGTAAATTGTGTAGTAATGATTTATTATTAATTTCAAAATCAAATTGATAAAATTGATAAGGGATAAAGATCAGTGAATAGGAAACCTTAATGAATAAAATCTTTAGTGAGATGAAAATGCTCTTTTTTAATATATTTAATTGCAGCCTAAGATTTTATAATGTTTGTGACCTATACACTTCCTCATATATGTTCACCCAGTTTCAGCACATATATATCACGAAAATGATATTGCATTGGAAATTTTTGATCAGTTGACCATATACTTGATAGATATTCCAATAATCACTACCAAAATATCTGTTCCTTGTAAGTACCTCAGGGTGTTGGGTATCGATGGTATTCAGCACATCCCTCAATACCTCCAAGGCAGTTCCAGCTTTCTGAAGAATACTGCAAAACAAAATTGCAACGAGGTCAAAGATGGGAGAATAATAACAGTGAAAAAATTAAAGAGACTAAGAGGATGCACTTCTTTTCACCATTTTAAGGGAGTACATTTTTATGAATTAGTACAAACTATACCTTGAGTCAGAAGTAACCTGGGTCTGTGCTTTTGGCACATTTCTTTCATTCTGAGGAGCAGAAGGTTTCTTGTCAGGTGCACGATGCTGACTCTCGTTTACTGTGAGCTGAGGGTTTGGGATGTCATGAGGCCTCTGAGGGAATTGCACTCCTGCATTCTGAAACACAGTATTTAATATTGCCTTAGGTAAAACAGAAATAACAAATAAGAGTTTACAGTACTGTAAGCTGTTGCAATCTGTCTGTCTAAGAATCTCCATACAATTATTGCAAGCAAGTCAATAAAATAAGTGCCTAAAAATCAGCAAATTGAGGGGAACAACCCAAAATCTTGAACAAACATGGTGCATTAGCTTTACATTCACATGAATGGAAAAGAATGCACTAGAGCAACTTTTCTATCTCATTGAGTGAGTGTTTTACAAAAACTCCCTAAAACCCCATATTGAATCTACATTTACCGCAGTAGAAGTACTGCAATTCAATTGAGTAGTTGTCTCTGTTGGATCTTCCGTAAGAATAAAACAGCGACATGGACGATAAAATGTATCAACTGAAAACAGACATGCACATAGTAGTACAAAAAATAGTATTTTGGGAACAAGACTATATGGTTAACACCAACATAAGCTTCAGGAATAGTTATAGGTCTAATTACCCAAAATAACAACACCAAATTAAAGAATATGCCTCCTCATATACAAATTCCACCTATTGATAGGTTGATTTTCAAAGTAGAGATGAAACTCAAGAGGATATTTGTAGCTTTTATAAGATAACTAGATGATTTTAAGTAGAACCTCAATAAGTAACTCATTAAATTAATTTGAAGGCGCAAAAAAATTTAAATTCACAGTTTCAGCAAGCGATACTTACCACCAATTCATAATATGCAGAATAATATTGAGGAAACCTCCCAGAAGCTCCACCTACTGATGTTTGAGCCGCATCTAAGAGCAGAAAAATCTTTTCACGAACAGGAAGGTCCGACTGTAAAAGAGAGAAGGAGATAAGATAAATGCCTTTAACAAATATATAACTAAGAAACAGTCAAACAGTCAAAGGTGCCCACCTTTTTCTTGACTATTTTCACAAGTATGGGTAAAACTCCTGCATCTATAACTTGCTTATGCACTGGATCCCCAATATTATTCATCAACATCTCCAGCAACTGTTAATGTAATGGTGTTAAATCAATGACAGAAATCATGTTATCAACGCTTATATAGAAAAGAGAAAAACTTTAACTTATACCATTACAGCAAAGAGCTGAGTGTTCGAGCTTTTGCTTGCTAGACGTTTTTTAATAGCTTTCACAACATCTTTAGCTTGTCTGCACAATTCAAACGGAGAGTAAATGTGAATGAACTGCCTATATAGCATAATGCTTGAAATATCTAGAAAAAGTAGTGAGAAGTTACTCAATTCTGATCTGCTGGACTGATGGTAATAATAAAAAAAGTGAAATATGAGCAAATTTGAAGTTTTGTGTTTAGAATACAAATGAACTTATCAATTAGTTGTGAACCTTAAAGATTACATTTAGGTAAAGTATAAACCAAGAACAAGAAACATAGCTTCGCAAGACCTTCAATGTCGATAAAAAAATCAAGATAATAAAATGACACGCCAAAGAGCATTGTACGTCAACAGAGTAACAAAAATACCCATGATCGCGCGCGACTATTTCACAAATCTCAATGTTTTTTGTCCAGTCCATTTCAGTGAGTTTTTCACTCGTAGCATAACTAACAAGGTCTGAAGCCATATGTATGATCCCTGCAGCAATAATTAAGAGCAAAACATCATGATGCAGGAGAGATAGAAAATACTTGTTCTAACTAACAGAAAGAAAAAGAACACTCAATGCTAACAAGACTTGTTATAAACTCACCACCCTAATTTCTCCATCAACACTCATGAATTTGCTCACATACTGAACAAATAAAGCATGAAAATGATTTACATGGGACGCGTTACTCCACCTACTATCTCTTAAATTTAACTAAAGGCATAGACAAGTATCTCTTTGCTTAACTGATAGAGAAGTAATTAGCTGTAAGAAGGTTGAGCTCATGCTACATAAACAAACATTTTTTCTCGTTTAAAACTGTGCAGATAGCGATAGAGCCGCCTTGAGAAAAGCTCATCACAATATCATACATACATAAGCATGAATGGGAAGTAACTGCAACAAGTGAATACAGTTAGCAGGAAAGCATTTTCTGTTCCTTTCTTCTTCTTTCCCTAGTACATGAAAAGAGACTATTAAACCAACTCTCATATTTCAGCTATTCAAATCTGGTCCAGTTAGAAAAATGGTGTTTCCAACCCAAAGTATAGATTTGCTAAGTTTAAACAAATGACCTAATGGCATGAGGGACTCGAAATGATTCCACCAAGCCATCGAAGCTGTTTGATAATTTAATATCAGTTGAGAGAATCCAAACACTCTAGAAGAGCATTTCAGAAAGCCAGGAAATGAACTTAAGCCCTATGCTCAAATTCAAAACCATTTTGGCCGGAAATAGATGAAACATACATTTTGTAAACCCTCAATTTTCTGTGGTTGTATGTGTGCGCGTGCGTGAGTGTGTGTGTGTGTGTGTGAGAGAGAGAGAGATTGTTAAAGTATCCACAAAAAATTTGTGCAAAGCAAGGGACTGGAAATGTCCACAGCCTTCCCATTCTCAAGCAAATGCTAAGTTGAAATCCGCATAATAACTATCATCTCAATTATTCTCCCACAAAATTCAAACAAAAAATGAGATGGTTCTATCCATCTTCTTCACCAATCCATTTCTATATAGCCACTAGAAGCACTCAACATATTCATTTCTTTATTTAAGGAAAAAAAAGATATCCAATCTTCCCAAATCGAACCCTTTTGATTACAGATCTCATGTATCACGCAAAAAAATGCGATCCCTACCAATTCATGAGCTCTTGAGTTCTTCAGAATCGAAAGATCAAAGGAAACAAACACATGCTCTTGCCCACAATTAAACATAACACGAGTGGAACAACTTCTAGACAATTAAATAAAAAAAAAAAAGGGAAAACTCAAACAATTCAAGCAGCACCAAACAAACATAAAAACACACCTGAAGGAACCTGGGAAGAGCGAAGACCAGAAGCCACTCAACTTTCCAATTCGTATGTTTGTATGTGTAGCTGTAAAATAATTGATGAACACGTATATACATACACACAACTGTCTACATATCAATCAGTGAAGAGAGGAGAGAGAAAATAAGATTCTCTGCTAACTGTATAAATATAAATATATGCTAGCTTTGTCCGAGCCTTTGAGGAGGGGCCTTTATATTCTTTCCATATTATAGCTTTTTACAACTATTAATTTAGAGTATTTTTAAATAATAAGAAAAACTATTGAGAACCTGTGTTGGAAAATAGTTCTCGAGAGCGTGGCTGTGTTTTTTCCTTTTTTCACTTGTGAGCAAAAGAGGCGTGAAGGAGTGAAAGAAATGGGTATGGTGTACACGTGGACAGTTAACGGCGCTGATTGCTGTTGTTAGCTAGATAATAACAATAGCTAACCACACTCCATATCTTCTTCCCGTGACAAAAATACCCTTCAAGCAGTAGACAACTATATAAATTATGTATGGCTATGATATGGTGAATGAAAAATAATTCTCTCACATGGGAGTGAAAATTCTCTTTGAGGGGAGCGATCGATTTTTCTTTGAGAAAGAGGCCATCGGGGTGGGGTAAATTCCATCGAGGGTTGGTTTCAAAGCTCTCAAGCATTGTTTCAATCTTAACTACTTTGCAGCTAGGGTTTTGAATTGGGTATGGAGCCCAATGCACCTGAAGCATCGACCTCTGTGAAGGATACAGAAGACCTTGGTTGTCGTCTTCAAAACATAGCACTTTCAGAATCGGAGAACTGCATCATCGACCTTGAAGATGAGGATATCAAAATCAGTGCAGCGGAGTGTAAGCGGAGTTTATTTGGTAAAATCAATGGGGACAGAAAGGCAAGTTTAATTGGCATTCGAAGGACAATGGGATCAATATGGCAGATCCAGAATCAGATGGAAGTTAAGGAATTGAAGACTAACTTCTTCCAATTCCTATTTGGCAGCATTGAGGATAAGAACAAGGTCCTGCAAGGAACACATTGGGTTTTCGAGAATCAATACTTGATCCTGGCAGAGTGGGAAGAAGGGATGACAGAAAAGCATCAGCGATTCTCAGAATTACAACTGTGGGTGCAAGTAAGTAACATTCCTATAAACTGGCTCTGTACTGAAGTTGGTCTTAAAGTAGGGAAAGCTTTTTTTGCAAGTTAAGAATGCTTCAGTAATCAAAGCAGGAGGGCAAAGAGGTAGTTTTTTGAGAATACTGGCTGCGATTGATGTGAATAAACCTCTACCTAGAATTGCCTGTCTCAAGCTTCATGACACTCAGATCAGGGCGATTTTCCAGTATGAGAAATTGGTTAATGTCTGTTATTATTGTGGGCATATTGGCCATTTGGAACGAACTTGCAGCAAAAACGTGGATGATATTGCTAAAGGGGCTCTTAATGATGGGCAGTATGGTGAATGTCTCAGAGTTATTGATGGCCAGTATGGTTATAAGTCTGGGAGTCAATCTGCTGAATATACAATCCCTGGACAAGAAACAAACTCAGAACCGCATGAAAGAAACACTGGTTTCAATTCAGCAGGGAGTGGAGTCAAATCTGGTATTGGAAAACAAATCAATGTGGCAGAGAATACAAATCAAGGCGATCCCAGGGACAAAGGCAAAGAAGTTTGTCTGGCAGAAGATTCAGAGAATGTAGTGCAAGATATTAATGCTAGTCTAATCCTAGCTATAGAGAAGGATATGATGCAGTCTACATTACTCAAGGCCAGGCAGATAAAGAGGATCGGGAATGACCACTATATAGAGGAGGAGAGGGTGGATTAGGAAGACCAATGCCACTGCCACTAGCACTGAAAGCAGTAGAGCATTAAGAAGCAGTGCTGCCAAAAAAGAACCTCAACCTAGAAGAAGGAAGAGAAATCTTATTATTGGAGAAGCTGATGAACCAGACCTGAAGACAGATCAAAGGGAAAATAAGAAGTTAAAGAATGTTTCTTTGGAGGTAGGGGTGGCCAGCCTTGAGTGGCCCACTTGACCAATGAAGCTAATAATGTGGAATTGTAGAGGGCTGGGTGGGCCCTCTACAATTTCACAACTAAAGGAGGCTACAAGACTCCACCACCCAGATTTTGTCTTTGTTTCTGAAACCAAAAAACCAAATAATTTTGTTAAATTAGTCTGTAATAAAATAGGGTTTAGAAATAGATGGTTTGCAGTTGATCCAATAGGTCTTAGTGGAGGGTTTTTGGTCTTGTGGGGCAGGAATGTGCTAGTTAAGCAAGTTTTGAGTAATCATTTCAGTATTCAAATAGAAATAGCAGGCTCAGGGGGGAATAGTGATGTATGGGTTACTTTTATGTATGCTAGTACTAGCAAAAGGGAGAGAATTCAGAAATGGCAGTTCTTGAAAAATGCTAGTGGTAGCTGGGGTAGAAATTGGGTTTTGCGGGGTGACTGGAATGAGATTTCTGAGGCTAGTGAGAAAAATAGGGGTAGAAGGAAAGCTGAGAGAGAGTTCAGAGAGTTTAATGATTTTATTTCTAGAATGGGTATGTATGAGCTGAAGCTGATAGGCCACAATTTTACTTGGGGCAACAACAGGGAGCCTGAAGGGTTCATTGAGGAAAAAATTGACAAAATTTTTGTTTCATATGACTGGTTGCAGGAACATCAGCATGTTGTGGTGGAAAATATCTATAAAAGTGCCTCTGACCACAGGCTCCTGTTCTTAAATGATAATCCACAGAACCTCCACAGAAAGAAGAAAATATTCTTCTTTGACAAGAGATGGTTAAGGAGGAAGGAGTCAAAGAAGCTGTGCAACAGGCTTGGTCCACTGAAACATCAGGCACACCCATGTACCAGATTTCTGAGAAGATCAAGACCACCAGAGTAGCTCTGTTGAAATGGAGTGCATCCTTTATAAATGACCAACTCAAACAGAAGCAACACCTTACAGCACAGTTGGAAGAGATGAGCATACATGGAACCAACAGAGATTGGGAGAGATGGCAGAGACTAAGGAAAGAACTGGACAGTGTGACCAAAGCAGAGGAATTGTATTGGGCTCAAAAATCAAGATCTCAGTGGCTAAGGGAGGGGGACTCAAATACTAAGTACTTCCATGCAGTTACCATGCAGAGAAGGAAAATAAATAATATCTCTCACCTTGTGGATGAATTCAACCAGAAGTACAACAATGAAGAGGAGATCCATCTTCACATCTGCAGATTCTATGAACATCTCTTCTGCTCAGAAGGTTCAATTAGAGGAAATGATCTCTTGCACTTAATTCCAGAGACTATAACTCCTGATATGAACTCCACTCTTACTGCACCAATCACAAAAGAAGAAATTAAGGCAGCCTTGTTCAGTTTTGATTCAGGGAAAGCACCAGGCCAAGATGGTATGAGTCCCATTCTTTTTTTTCAAAAATTCTGGGATGTAATTTGTGATGACTTTTGCAAGGTTGTACTTAGTTTCTTTGAATCTAGTAAAATTTTGAAGAGCTGGAATCACACTGTTATATCTCTTATTCCCAAGTGCTTGAATCCCACAAATTTGAAGCAATACAGACCTATTAGTCTATGTGGAGTAGCTTATAGAGTCATTGCTAAGATCTTATCTTTGAGAATCAAGCCTTGTTTATCTGCCTGTATCAGTGAAAATCAAGCTGCCTTCATCCCTGGAAGGCAGCCATTAGACAATGTTCTGATTGCACAGGAAAGTGTTCATTTCCTCAACAGACATACATCAGGAAGGAAAAGTTACATGCTGTTGAAGCTAGACATGGAGAAGGCCTTTGACAAAATAGAGTGGGAAAGTGTTAGAAAGGTGATGCTGAAGATGGGGTTTGACCTAGTGTTTGTGAACTGGATCTGGGCATGCATCTCCTCCACTACATATTCTTTCAACATCAATGGAGAGCTGAAGGGTTACATATCTGCTACCAGAGGCATCAGACAAGGTGATCCCATATCACCTTTATTCATTATCATTTCAGAGGTGTTATCTAGGCTTATTATTGATTAAGAAAGGAAGGGTACCTTCAAAGGTCTGAAAATTGCTAAGAACAGCCTTGTAGTGTCTCATTTGATGTTTACGGATGATACTTTGATAATGTGTGAGGCTGATGATAAGCATGCTAGAGTACTTGTGTCTTTG